CCCCCAAAAGACCTGCTGATGCACATGATGCTCGGCCCCTGCCCTCCCAAACACAAGTCCAGCGGATTTAAAGTCCGTTGGACTTGGCCCGAAAAAGGCCACTGATGAAGGTCTTTCCACTCACATGTTACTATTTAATTGAGTACTAAGTAGCAGTCGTCGTCGTGGTAGTGGTAGGCCTGGTGGCGGTAGTCGTGGTAGCGGTAGTGGTAGTGGCAGTGGTAGGGGTAGTGGAATGGCAGTGGCAGTGGTAGCGGTAGTGGTAGTGCAGTTGCAGCAGTAGTGGGAGTAGTAGCAGTAGTAGCTGTAGCGGCAGTAGTAGAAAGGGTAGTAGTAGCAGTAGCAACAGCAGCGCCACAGCCCGGCCTTGTTATGCAGGTGTCTTGCTTCGCTTGGCGGGTTTGGGTGGTATACGCGGGAGTTTGAGCGTTGGGGTGGGATTCAGGCTTCAGGCTACTTGGAGGATCATGGGGCTTAGTAATTTGGCGGCTATAAATAAGGTAACTATACTTATAACTCCAACTAGGGTACTTATAACCTTACTAAGTCCCGTGGTCCTCCAAGTAGGGGTTGAGGTCGCAGGCAGCACGACGAGAAACTCCGTTGGCCTGGCCTTCCTCCAGCGGTTCCTCTAGGGGGGGGCGGCTTTGGCGAGCAGCACTCGCGACGACCCGCCGCTTGCTCGGAGACCCCAAACCGGGCACTGCCGAAAAGAGAAAGGGGAGGGGGGAGGTGGCATATGGGGCCGTGGGGTGGCTAGGGGTGTGGCAGTGGCGGTGGGGAGGAAGGAAGTGGGAAGGAAGGAAAACTTTTGCAATGATACACTATGTGCGTGCGTGCGAACGAACCGGGGGAGCATCATATACCCACCTAGCAAAAAAGAATTTCCACGCCTACCTAGGCGACGCGAATTTCCACACCCACCAAAAAAGAATTTCCACATGTCGCCCGCTTCGCCCAAGGATTTTGCTGACCGAAACCCTTGTTTCAACACTGGAGGCCAGAACGCCCTAACAGGGGCGTCTCGTGACTGAAACCTTCTTCTTGGTACAGTCCAGGGCGCCCTGGGTTGTACTAAGATAGGGTTCTGCCGACCGAAACCTTTCTTAGTACAGTCCAGGATAAGATAGGGTTCTGCCGACCGAAACCTTTCTTAGTACAGTCCAGGGCGCCCTGGGTTGTACTCAGATAGGGTTCTGCCGACCGAAACCTTTCTTAGTACAGTCCAGGGCGCCCTGGACTGTACTACAGTCAGGGTACAGGTACCCCTGTCTTAGTACAGTCCAGGGCGCCCTGGGTTGTACTAAGATAGGGTTCTGCCGACCGAAACCTTTCTCAGTACAGTCCAGGGCGCCCTGGGTTGTACTAAGATAGGGTTCTGCCGACCGAAACCTTTCTCAGTACAGTCCAGGGCGCCCTGGACTGTACTACGGTCAGGGTACCGGTACCCCTGTCTTAGTACAGTCCGGGGCGCCCTGGGTTGTACTAAGGGAGGGTTCTGCCGACCGAAACCTTTCTTAGTACAGTCCAGGGCGCCCTGGATTATACTAAGATACGGTTTTACCGACCGAAACTTTTCTTAGTACAGTTCAGGGCGCCCTGGGTTGTACTAAAATAGGGTTCCGCCGACCGAAACCCTTCTTAGTACAGTCCAGGGCGCCCTGGACTGTACTACGGTCAGGGTACCGGTACCCCTGTTTTAGTACAGTCCGAGGCGCCCTGGGTTGTACTAAGGGAGGGTTCTGACCGAAACCTTTCTTAGTACAGTCCAGGGCGCCCTGGGTTGTACTAAGATAGGGTTCCGCCGACCGAAACCCTTCTTAGTACAGTCCAGGGCGCCCTGGACTGTACTACGGTCAGCGTACCGGTACCCCTGTCTTAGTACAGTCCGGGGCGCCCTGGGTTGTACTAAGGGAGGGTTCTGCCGACCGAAACCTTTCTTAGTACAGTCCAGGGCGCCCTAGATTGTACTAAGATACGGTTTTGCCGACCGAAACTTTTCTTAGTACAGTTCAGGGCGCCCTGGGTTGCACTAAGATAGGGTTCCGCCGACCGAAACCCTTCTTAGTACAGTCCAGGGCGCCCTGGACTGTACTACGGTCAGGGTATCGGTACCCCTGTCTTAGTACAGTCCGGGGCGCCCGGGGTTGTACTAAGGGAGGGTTCTGCCGACCGAAACCTTTCTTAGTACAGTCCAGGGCGCCCTGGGTTGTTCTAAGATAGGGTTGTGTCTGGTCAGGGAACCCGTGCGTGAGTGAAAACAGAGTGCCGCAGAAGGCCCGGACTGTACTAAGACAGGGGTACCGGTACCCTGACCGTAGTACAGTCCAAGGCGCCCTGGACTGTACTACGGTAAGGGTACCGCCGGCCCGAAGATCAGGGTACGGATGATGCGCCGCCGTACCCTGACCTTCGGGCTGGCTGTACCCTTCTCTTAGTACAGTCCAGGGCGCCCTGGACTGTACTACGGTCAGGGTACCGGTACCCCTGTCTTAGTACAGTCCGGAGCTTGCGAGCTGTCCTGCTCCCCGGGAATGCCTGGCCAGCCCGAGGCTCTAACTGCACGATGTATTTCTATTTAGTCTCGGCAGAACCCTATCTTAGTGCAACCCAGGGCGCCCTGGACTGTACTACGGTCAGGGTACCGGTACCCCTGTCTTAGTACAGTCCGGGGCGCTCTGGGTTGTACTAAGGGAGGGTTCTGCCGACCGAAACCTTTCTTAGTACAGTCCAGGGCACCCTGGATTGTACTAAGATACGGTTTTGCCGACCGAAACCTTTCTTAGTACAGTTCAGGGCGCCCTGGGTTGTAGCAAGATAGGGTTCCGCCGACCGAAACCCTTTTTAGTACAGTCCAGGGCGCCCTGGACTGTACCACGGTCAGGGTACCGGTACCCCTGTCTTAGTACAGTCCTGGGCTTGCGAGCTGTCCTGCTCCCAAGGAATGCCTGACCACCATCATCCGTACCGTGACCTTCGGGCCGGCTGTACCCTTCTCTTACTACAGTCCAGGGCGCCCTGGACTGTACTAAGAAAGGTTTCGGTCGGCAGAACCCTATCTTAGTACAACACAGGGGGCCCTGGACTGTACTAAGACAGGTTTCGGTCGGCGGAACCCTATATTAGTACAACCCAGGGCGCCCTGGACTGTACTAACAAAGGTTTCGGTCGGCAGAACCCTATCTTAGTACATCCCAGGGCGCCCTGGACTGTACTAAGAAAGGCTTCGGTCGGCAGAACCCTATCTTAGTACAACCCAGGGCGCCCTGCACTGTACTAAGAAAGGCTTCGGTCGGCAGAACCCTATCTTAGTACAACCCATACTAAGAAATGCTTCGGTCGGCAGAACCCTATCTTAGTACATCCCAGGGCGCCCCGGACTGTACTAAGAAAAGCGTCGGTCGGCAGAACCCTATCTTAGTACAACCCAGGGCGCCCTGGACTGTACGAGTACCAAGAAAGGCTTCGGTCGGCAGAACCCTATCTTAGTACAACCCAGGGCGCCCTGGACTAAGAAAGGCTTCGGTCGGCAGAACTATATGTTAGTACAACCCAGGGCGCCCTGGACTGTACTAAGAAAGGCTTCGGTCGGCAGAACCCTATCTTGGTACAACCCAGGGTGCCCTGGACTGTACTAAGAAGAAGGTTTCGGTCACGAGATGCCTCTCGCAAGGGGCCTTGGCCTCTACAGCAAACTTCTCTCTTAGTACAGCGCAGCCCGCCCTGGACAATGTTGAGACAAGGGTTTCGGTCAGCAAAATCCTTGGGCGAAGCGGGCGACACATTTGGTAAGGATGTCGCTTAAGTGGATGTGGAAATTCTTTTGTGGTGGGTGTGAAATTCGCCTCGATTAGGTAGGCGTGGAAATTCTCTTTTGGGGTGGGTATGATGCTCCCCCGGTTCGTTTGCACGCACGCACATATCGTATCCTTCGTGTTCATTGCAAGGGTCTTCCTTCCTTCCTCCCCACCGCCGCTGCCACACCCCCAGCCTTCCGCAGGGCCCCATATGCCAGGGTTAGGGTTAGGGCTGGGGTGAGGGTCGGGTGCCGTTGAACGTTCCGTTGGCCTGGCCTCCCCGGTTTGGGGTCTCCGAGCAATCGGCGGGTCGTCGCGAGTGCCGCTCGCCAAACCCGCCCGCCCAGAGAGGAACCGCTGGAGGAAGACCAGGCCAACGGAATTTCTCGCGCTGCCTGCGACCTCAACCCCTACTCGGAGGATCATGGGACTTAGTCAGGTTATACGTAGCCTAGTTGGAGCTATAAGTATAGCTACCTTATTAAGCCCCGTGATCCTCCAAGTAGCCTGAAGCCTGAATCGCACCCCACCGCTCAAACTCCCGCGTATACCACCCAAACCCGCCAAGTGAAGCAAAAAATCTGCATAACAAAGCCGGGCTGTGGCGCTGCTGTTGCTACTGCTACTACTACCCTTTCTACTACTGCCGCTACAGCTACTACTGCTACTACTCCCACTACTGCTGCAACTGCACTACCACTACCACTACCGCTACCACTATACCACTACCACCAGAACTGCCCCTACCGCTACCGCTACCATTACCACTACCCCTACCACTTCCACTACCACTACCGCTACCACGACTACCGCCACCAGGCCTACCACTACCACGACGACGACTGCTTCTTGTACTCAATTAAATAGTAACATGTGAGTGGAAAGACCTTCATCAGTGGCCTTTTTCGGGCTTCAATTCCAGCTAAATCCCTCCCAGACGCAAGTCCAACGGACTTTAAATCCGCTGGACTTGTGTCTGGGAAGGCAGGGGCCGAGCATCATGTGCATCAGCGGGTCTTTTCGCAGTTTAGAACCTCGTCAAATTCAAGTCCAACGGATTTTAAATCCGTTGGACTTGTACATGGGTGCGATTTGTTTCCGTTTTTTGGCCTCTAAGGTGCCCCAGTGCTAAGAAGTATGATTTGTTGCCGTTGGTTTGGCCTCGCAGCGGTGCCCGGTGCTAGGAAGTGCGAGTTGTCGCCGATGTCTTTCGCATCCAAGCAGTGCCCCAGTGCTAAGATCGGGGCTGGCGCCGTGCCCCACTCATTCCCTCATTCCCTGCTAAAGGCCGCCCAGAAGAACCCTCCAAGCGGCAAAGTCGGCGCGGTACTCGCGGGTCTGTGGAAAGACCTCCCTGAGGCTGCACAGAAAGCCTTCCAGGAGGTCGGGTACAGCCCACCTCGGCCGAAAGGGCCACCGCCCCCTCCGCCGGGATTGGACCTTCACTCCGTTCTTAAAAGTAGGATGACTGAGAAGGAGTACAACGCTGCCAGGGCCGTGGTCTACGCGGGGGCAGGGCTCCACGTCCAGACCCTTTTGGAGGCCGCGGGAATCCCCCCTCCACCAGATGAGGACCTCGACCAGCCAGAACCCACGCCCCAGGAGAAGCTGACAAGGTGTGTCAGCGACTTCAAGAAGGCCACCAACCAGATGAAGAATCTGGTAGAGAAAAAGGCCAAGCTCCAGGCTCGAGCGGACAAGCTCAAGCAGGAACTGGAAAAGCTTATTGGGGACGTGGACCAGGTGGATAAGGACATGCCTTGCCGGGCTTGCCCGGCGGCGCTGTTTAGAGTAAACGTTTTGGGTGGGCGGGGCGGGGTGTCTCTGTGGGTAGGAGGAGTTCCCTCGACTAGACCAACTCGAAGATCTCCGCAGTTTCAAAGAGAAAAGTTTTATTTAGCAGTTTTGAGTTTCTATTTTATTTTACGTATCGTGCGCTTTTCAGAATTGAGCCAGAAGCTGAGTGCGCGCACAATCTCAATGCTTATCATGGACGCAGAGCTCAGGCTCAGGAGCAGGGAAAATTTTGATTCTATGGGGCTAGCATTCACAAGCATCGTTGTGACGCATGACTGGACAGCTTAGCTTCACGGTAGCTCCATACTTTAGGACTACGAAAGCGGTAGAAGGGTGGCCCTGCGGCCCATGGTCGGCCATGAGTGGCACAGGACTCGGATGGCCCGCTTTAGTGCCACCATACCGCAACCGCCTTGAAGAGTGGTTTAGCACGCCTGAGAAATTGTATGCATCATTCGACACGAGGGAAGAGCTTGTATCATCGCTTAGGGCTTGCGATAACACGCTTCTTGAAAGTAGCCTGCAGTTGATTGCGGATGCACTTCTTGAATGGCATGCAGACAATGCCCGCACAGTTGCGAGTGGGCGCAGGGAAGCAAGGAGGCGCTTGACAGAGTGCTTGCCCAGTGTCCCGGGAACTGGCCTTAGCTTGCATGAGCATTACAATCAGATCGCACTTCAGAGTCCACTTGCGTTGCTTCCGGTTCTTCGCAAGCGGAAGTTAGCTACTGATAGGGTCGTAGATCGCGGTGCCAGGGCCACTGAAGAGATACGACTTCGGCAGGAGTATGCATTGCGTCTTGCAGCCATCATGCAGGAGGCGCAACTGCCGGTGTGCAAGGTGCTTGCAGGGGTCAGCAATGCCGAGGAAGCCTGGCCACGGCTGTTCGGGACCCGTCGATCCAAGACATTGAGGAATCGCTTTAGGGCTTGGGATAAGTTTCGGGAATGGTTGCTTTATAGCCGTGGCAGAAGTTATCCGGAAGGGGTAGCTGATGTGCTAGATTATGCCAATGAACGATTCCAGGAAGGATGTGGAAAGACAGTTCTCGAAAGCCTGCAAGCCTCTCTCAGTGTAATTGAAGGTGTAGGGCGCGTGCCGTCCACGCAGCAGATATCTCAGGATCCCACATGGCAGGCGCAGCTCAAAAGTTACACAGCCGATTTGGTTTCGGCGGCACCGCCGGAGCAGCCAGCCAGCATGCTCACCGTTGCTATCATCCTCGCATGTGAGATCTTCGTTTGCACGCCTGGGGAGCCTAGTTACTTGAGAGCATTGGGCTTTGTTTGCTTATTGATGGTTTGGGGATCGCTTCGGGCTGATGATGTTCAGGGGCTCCTGCCGCAGACCATGCTTCTGGACGAGCGAGGGCTTAGCATTGATCTCGCGCGGTCCAAGACTACAGGGCCCGACAAAAGGACCCACACCGTCAAGGTCTTCGTGGAACGGAGTATCTCTCTGACAGGGCATGATTGGCTGAAGGTCGGATATGCACTTTGGAAGGATTTCGATTTTGAGAGGGATTATTTGGTTTTGAAGGCCAATGAAGGTTTCACGGAACCCCTTGAGAAGTCGGTGCCTTCCTCCACGGTGGCCCTTTACTTCCGCAAAGTTCTCAGTGAGTTGAAGACGCCCAAGCGTGAGGGGCGCACCTGGAAGGCCAATGATCAGCGTCCGCTGCTCCCAGGATACACTTCCAGTCATTTTACGGGCCATTCTGCGAGGAACTTCCTTAGCTCGGTCGGAGCGGCCATCGATGTCGACCCCAGGGAGCTTGATTATCTGGGTCGCTGGAAGGTAGGTGGCGAAGGTTCTGCAACCTACATTCGCACTTCTAGGCAGGTTGTGCATCGTCTCCAGAGTCACATTGCTTGTTCTCTTGTCACCGGACAGCCTAAGCATTACATCGAGGTGGATTCCATCAAGGCTTTGACGGACTATGCAGCTAAGGCGGGGGAGAGCGAATCTCAGGTTCGTCGCCGTCACACCCTCCTCGAGGGATCCAAAGGCTTGGGCGGATCGTGGCCAACTCTGGCATTGGAAGTGGGTGTTGCGGCACCACCTTCTCCAGTCGAGCAGGTCTCGATGCCAGGCAGCCGGGGGGATTACTTCATCGTTACCTCTCGCACTACAGGCCTGAGGCGTTTGCACATGTTGGGTTGCTATGTCAAGCCTGAGAATTGTTACGATGTAAAATTTGTCAATCATGTCGGCGCGGAGGACGTCGATAACATTTGCAAAGATTGCAAAGCAAGAATGAAGGCTCAGGCCGGAGAGGAGGAATCAGACCCCTCCAGCAGTGACAGTGGGAGCGAGTCGATGTGAAGGCAAAAGATGCTTTCGACTGCTGTGTATAGGCTGTGCCCTGCAAGTCCTAGCCAGAAGTTGGCATGAGTTGCTTATGCAAGGGCGCCTTGAAGTAGATCCACGATAACAGTCCATGCTGACTTTTCTCAGGGCGTCTTGAAGTTGATTCGCGATAACAGTTCATGCTGATTAAGTGCACGTGCTGGCGCTGTTCAAGCAGGAGGAAGTCTCACTCGGCGCAGGCCGTGAGGTGCCGACGGATTCCGCATCCTGTCACAGGCCTCAGGGCGACGGGTGGACACATCGCAGTGCAGCTAAAGGCCTCAGGGCGGCTAGCAATCCAAGTCCTACAGGGCCACAGGCCGGGGCGCGGCCTTCGCATCAGGAGTAGCTGGAGTTAGTTACTGTTGTCGCAATGGCCGCCACAGATGCCGAGAAGCGCGAGCTCATAACCAAAGCAGATAGCGACTTGCAGTTTGTGCTCGGAGAAGCTGGCTTGTCTCTGGATGCCCAGTATCGCATTGTGCAACGACATACAACACTTAGGCGATTCCAGGCAATCGCCGATTCCCGGCCGGAAGCTCGGGCTGCTGGGAAGGCGGACTTTGGTTTTGATGATGGGGCTGCTGATGGGCGACAACAAATCGCAGGGGTCGTCGCTGCATGGGAACTTGCGCGCGACGTAATCAGCAAAGAGACGGAAACGCGAGCAGAGGCGAAAGTGTTAGGCCAGCCGCGAATCTTGCAAGTCACAGAGAGGCAAGCAATGCTCAAGGCGGTAGCGGCCGTTCACAGGCAGCTGGGAGAGTCGGAGACTCCATCGTCTGAGTACCTCGCTCTCAAGTGCGAGGAGTGCGAAGCCAATGAGCCTCAGGCTTCAACCTTGGATGCCATAACTTCGAAGAAGAACACGCTCACCACGAGCATCCAGTCCAGCCTTGACGCTTCGGGGCGAATTCATATTACTCAGCACAAATCCAAGAGTGAGCTCCCGACTACTACAGAAGCTTATCGCAAGGTCCTTCGCGTGGAAGCTTTCACATGGCTATGCATGGCATCCCGCTTTAAATCCAAGCAGTGGCTTCAGGATCTCAAGCTGTCTGACTTCGACCACTTCGTGAACTACATCCTTGGCGAAAAGGTCGCTCAGCTCTCAGTGCCTACGTCTCATCAGCCAGCAGATGTGCCTTCACTTTCGCCACCTTGGGAAGTAGTCTTGGCCTATGAGCACCGGTTGCGCAAGGAGGCTTTCCGTCTGGTCAATGATCAGGGTTATACTCTGGCAGGCGCTCTGGCTTCAGTCATTTCTTCAGCGGAGCTTAAGGAGACCTACTTCACGACGCCGCTCGCCTTGTCCATCATTGAGCGACCACGCAAGTGGCACAAAGGCAAGGGCAAGGGCAAGGACGGCAAGGACGGAGGCAAGACAGGAAAGGGCGGCAAGGGCAAAGACTCCAAGGGGGGCAAGAACGGCAAAAGCCCCTCGGACCCGGCACTCAAGGGCCTTCAGTTGGTTTGGCGCACGCCGGAGGGCCGCGACATCTGCTTTGCATTCAACTCGCAGGGCTGCACCAATCCTTCATGCGAACGCTTGCACGTGTGCCGGGTCAAGGGCTGTTATCAGCCCCACTCAGCGACCGAGCATAAGCTTAAGACCGGCAAGCCCAAGGAGTGACTATCGCATGATTCGGTTTCTACCATTGAAACATCAGATCACATCGCATACCAGCCTCAGCTGTACAGTCCGAGCGGGCTTCGTGTGCTCTACATTTTCGCGGGGCCCCATCGCAAAGGTGATGTGGGCTCTTACCTTCAGTCGTTGGGCAATGTCACTAACCTTCTTCAGTTCGATCTTCAGCGCTCCACGGAGCATGACTTGACTAAGGAAGGCTTGTGGCAGCACATCTTTCAATTGCTTGGCGAAGGGGATTGGATCCTCATTGCCTCTCCTCCTTGTGAGACATTTTCCAGAGTCCGGCATCGCCACCCCGGGCCAAAGCCACTACGTTCAGCATTTTATCCTAGAGGTTTTCCATGGTTAAGCAATTTGCACACGCAGCAGGTGGAGCAGGCTAATTATTTTCTTGATCAGACCGTGACGGCATGTCAACTTGCATGGCAGTATGTCCTGGAGCACCCGGAGGATCTCGGCGCGACGCCGGATCACGAGTTACCGGCTTCCATTTGGCAACTACCAGCTCTGCGTGAGCTCCAGGTTTCCACTCAGGCCATCACTTTTGCATTCTTTCAATGCAGCTTTGAGGCTCCCACTTCCAAACCTACCCGCCTTCTCACTAATCTACAGGCCTTTGTCGAGCAGCCTCCGCCTTTTGCTTCATGGCCACGCTTCGACTCCAGCGATCGCTACGTGGGGCCGTTGCCGCCACGCTGCCCGCACGGGAAACACGACAAAGTACTTGCAGGCCGAGAAGGCTCCCGCTGGGCGACCGAGTCATCAGCAGCCTATCCTCCTCTGTTGTGTGAGTGGCTTGCGCATGCTGTGCTTGCTTCCGCTTCGCAGGGGGGACTTGGGTCAGCGCCGCACAGCTCCGTTCCAGGTGAGGCAGGTCCAATGCAGGAATCCCACGAGGCGACGCAGGAGGTGCATGAGGATTTGTGTGAAGTGCCGCAGGGGCTGCATCAGGTGGTTTCCGATAGGGTAGAGGCGGTTACAGATAGGGTAGAGGCGGTTGGCTTGATCGAGTCGGAAGCACCTCCTTCCACTTTGTTGCCGTCGCCAGACTCTTCGGGGCAACCGCAGCCGAAGGCAGCACCTAGGGGGGTTAAGAAACACATTGAAGCCGAGGAGTTCGCACGCATCATTTCTTCATCGAGAGCCCCGACTCGGGCCGAGGTCCATGCTCTCTTCAAACTGCTGCCGCATGAGACTCCGCCTAGGTCGGCGGTGTCCTCTAACTGGGTTCCTAGCAGCTTTTCGACAGGCTTGTACCGGAAGGGTGGAGGCCTGATCGGGCTCAGGTCCGCGTGCAAAGGCTTCCCGGCTTCCACTGAAGCATTGGCATCCTTCGTGCGTAGCAACATGCCCGGGCACCCCTTTACCACGATTAGCCTTTACCTTAACACTGGCACCAAGCCCCACAAGGACTCCAGGAACGCACCTTTGCCCAATGGGATAATAGGGGTTACTGACTTCGTAGGAGGAGAGATCTGGGTCGAGGCCCAGGATGGGGAGTCTGTTCAGATTGTTGACGGTAAGCGCTTAAGTGGTCACCTTCTTCCGATCAGTGAGACACCCACCTACATACATGCTTACCGCGATCTTCACCTCACAATGCCCTGGAAAGGTAAGAGATTAGTCATCATAGCTTTCAGTGTATCGGAGCATACTCAGGCATGCGATGAGGATCTCGCGTTTCTTCGCGGGCATGGTTTCGTCCTTCCGGGCGAAGAGCACACTGTTGATCTTGAGGCGGTCCAGTCAGATGATTCGGAGGTGCTGGAGGGGGGCGAGGTCGAAAGACCGGAGCCCTTCAAGCATCAGGAGTGCCACAACATCGGGCTGCCTTTGAACCTCGAGTGGGATGGCAAAACTCAGCCGATCACGGATGGCTTTGGACTCTGCTCACCCACTAGATGGCCTCCGGAAGCCAGGGGGGGCCTGCTGCCCAAGCAGGCTTTGGAGTTCGCCACTGCCATGCATCAAGTGCTTCGAGACTTTGTAGCGGACGTTGTGCCTGATATCAGGCGCACGGCGATGGAGCTTGCGCTAGGCCGCCTTAAGGAATCATCTTTCACTCCCGAGATGTTAGGGGTCCTTAGGAAGGAGTGGTTTAGTTGCATAGAGGCTGCTTCGGGAGGCAAGTGTACGGATCTTGATGTGGTGCCGAGTGGCCAGCCATTCTTCTTGCATGCTGTGTCTGCGACAGCGCGGCTGTTGCAGGACCCAGATTGGAAAGCCGTTTCTTGCCAGGAGGACTCCTATGTCAGCGGGGTCGCGATCGGTTATGACTGCCCCGCGCCTCACTTGCCACAGGTGTACGAGTACAAACACAAGTCCCGCAAGCTCGATGAATCGGATGCCGAGTGGCATCGCGAGAACTATTCGTCGGCAAACGAAACGTCGGATCAGCTTGAGAAGAAGTTTGCAGAGGAAGAGGCTCTTGGGCGCATGGCGCCTTCCACGTTGCCGGTTCTTGAGCAAAAGTACGGGCGGGATAGGGTTAGGATAGCTTCTTTAGGTTCCTTGATTAAACCAGACGGCTCCGCTCGGCCATTACACGATGGCACCCACGGTGTGCATGTCAACAATGGTATTAGGCTACTTAATCAGCAATCTAATCCCGGACCCCAGGAGGTAGTTCACCTTGTGCGTAGCGCAAAGCAAAGTCAGGAGGCCACCTTTTGCCTCACCGGCGATGTGACGGCGGCTCACAGGTTGTTCCTTGTCAGAGAGGCCGACTGGCCTTTGTTGTGCTGTAAGGTGCGCAACGACACGCCGGTCGTTTGGTACAACAAAGTAGGAACGTTCGGTATATCATCATCCGCCTTCCTTTGGTCTAGATTGTTCGGAATCATCGGCCGCTGCACCGCGCGCTTTCTTTTGACCTTGTGGTTCTATCACCTCGTCTTCGTAGATGATGTTCACGCCAACTTCGCAGGAAGGGAGAAATTTCATCATTTGCTCATGTGGCTAGCATGCTTCGAGATGTTTGGCACACCTTTCGCATACAAGAAGTTCCGCGGTGGGCTCACTTCGGCTTTTGTGGGTTACGAACTTTCTTATCCAGACCAGAGGGTTGGAATTTCGGAATCGCAGGGCCAGTGGCTCTTGAAATGGATCGCTGAGGCTCGGACCTCGAAGTTTGTTGTTTCGGTTCGCAGGTTTGCTGAGTTCTTAGGGAGACTGGGCTTCGTTGCTCGGCTTTTGGTTTGGCTTAAGGCACACCTTGCGCCGCTTTACAGCTGGAGGGCAGCGGTGAACGACAGTTCAGTCGCTCGGATGCCCGACACCGTCATCCTTACTCTTGAATATCTTGACCTCACGTTCAGGGACATGACGTTCAAGGTCGCCGCAGCAAGATCGGTCAAGAGAGCAGGCGAGCAGGCGTGGCCTTCCGCACTGATGCAAAGTGCGCGGACGGGTACGTGGTCCTTGGGGGTTGGGATTGCGCAGGCACAACTCAGGAGTCCAGATGGTTCTCACTTCGACTTACTCCCTCAGAGGCCCCTTACCTCTTTGACTCAGAAGGTCACAGTCAGTGGGCTTCGGCATCGGCTGAATTGCTGGCCACGCTGGCCGCACTGCACATCTTCGGTCACCTTGAAGCCGGGCCAACTAGGCGTTTGATGAAGGTTGAGGTTTTAGCTCAGACGGATAATAAGTCTAACGAGGGCTTGACTCGCAAGGGTTCTACAACGCGCTGGCCCTTGCTCATGGTGAACATGCAGCTCACCCATGTTCTCATGAAGGCCGGCTTGCGGTTGAACTTGGGATGGCGTCCACGGGACGAAAATCAGGAGGCCGATGATTTAACCAACGAAATCTTCGACCGTTTCTCTGAGGAGTTGCGGGTCCCAGTGCAGTACTCCGAATTGCCGCTTTCCTTTCTTCACACTCTTTACGAAGCCAGGCGTGCACAGCTGAGCAGCCGTGAAGTGGATTCCATCCGCGACACGGTCGGTGGCAGGCCACGCTTCAGAGGCAAGAGAAAGAGAGAGAAGTCTCCTTGGTGACGTGCCGGCCTGCGGAAGGGGGGGCACAGGCACACAGGTGCGCCTTCCCGACACGTCAAAGACCTGTTCAAGAATTAGATGCCTGCGTGAGCCTGCCGCCATCCGTTTGAAAACATCCTGCGTGCTCCTTTCGGCAGTTGCTATCTCTTTAGATATTCATCATTAAGTGGCGAGGATACATTTGATTGGAGTCCCAAGAGGCGAAAGCAAGATATGAGAATTTATACCCCATATATTCTCCGGGGATACCGTCGGTGCATTTATGCCTTCGCCGATATTTCCGTTTGCCCAATATATCTTCTGGGCAATAAAATTTCTGATGAGGGAACTGAGTTTTGTAAACTTCGCTCACAGCGCCCTTCCTAAACACAACGGTTACGGAGAACAGGCGTTTTGGCTTGCAGTTAGCTCCAAGCGCTCCAAAACGGGCAACGGCGGGGTAGCGCCGGCTAAAACTGCTGTGCGTGGGCGGGGGCAGGCAATGGCTCCCTCCTCTGGTGGCATGGCCACCTTTTCTTCAGATATGCAAAGGCGACTTAGAGCTATGACAGCTCAACTACACAAGGACGACAACGACGGCTTGAGTCTACCCCTCAGGCCTTGGGCTAGCGAGCCCTTAGCACCATGGAGCTGGTCTGGCCAGCAAGGCAAAGCTTCCCCTCTGGAGGCAAGACACAAATTTTGGAAACAATGCTGCTTGGGAAGCAGCAACTGGGGTGCATCCGGGGCGCCAGGGGGCGCTAGAGATGCAAAAGTGGCGAGGGCCATGGGTCTTCTTGTGAGTTTCATTGTGGAGAAGCGACAGGCCTACCTCCTTGGTGCGAGGCAGGCTTTGCAGAAGATGCTCGCCATCGGCATTGGACCAAGCATGCTGTGGTCTCTTGTGGGCGAGTTTGGCATCCTGCCTTCGGAAGGTGAGCTCTGGTCAACGGCTGCCTTTTGCAGCACCGAGGCCAATAGAGCTTGTGACAGTGAAAGAAGTGATATGGCCCGGGGCAGCGGTGCTGCCAACAGGGCCGGCGAAACACTCAGTGCAAGTGCGGCTGCAGTGGGCGGCGGCGAGATTATCAGTGCTTGTGATTTCTCGGCTGCGGGCTGTGGCGAGGAAAATGGAGACAGCGATCTTGTTGCTGTGGGCAATCATTTCGACAGTGATGCTTTCACTTGTGGACATGGTGAGACAGACTGCCCTGGCGTTTGTGCTGCTGCGAGCGGCGATCGGCAAGCCACGGCATGTATCGCTGCTGGTCCCTTTCTTGATGGCCACATTTGCTGGGAAGAGGTGCACGATGAAGGCAGCCACGGCATTGCTTTCAGCATCTATGACTCCACCATCGACGTTCCTGCTTTTAGGTCTAGGGGGAACCGGACCCAAGAACCGAGAAGAACAACAAAAGATCCGCGTGAGGACAAAGAGTGTTGTAGGGTAGGTAAGGTGTCTGTGTCACGTCGACCAGATGCCGGGGACCGGACCCTAGAACCGAGAAGAAACAATCAAGATCCGCTCGAGGACAAAAAGGGTAAACATGCTAGCTCCACCGGCCCGCCCATGGGCCCCCCGGGGCCTTCAGCCTCGCAGTGCGGAAGCCATGGCAACAGTGTTGGCTTTCAGGCTCTTCCTGCTTGCGCGGCGGCGGCTGCTGGCGGCCAGTTGAGCGAGCACTTCCACCCGAAGGGCAAGTCCACCGACACGTTTCTCGAGGACCTGGAGGGCACGGTCACTGGCGACGGCGACGCGAGAGGACAGCCGTCCCAAGACGACAGCCGCGGGCGACGACTTGATGTTGGCGGCTCCGGTGCCACCTGCATGTGCATCCCTGGGACCCCCCTAAGGTTTAGTCCCGTAGGGTTTCCCGGTAGTGCAACGAGGCAGCATCGCAAAAGGCTGCTCCCAACCACTACGTTAAGCCTCGCAAACGCTGTTGCTGCATCGTGGCGGGCACTCTGCAGCCCAAAGCAGGACATCCAGGACAGCTTTCACGTGATCATGTGCAGCAGTTTCCCCTGGCTCCCCTAGGCCAACGCCCCTCCGGGTCCCGGCTCAGCCTCGCGTGCACAACATGTGATGCATTTTCTGAACCCCTGCTGGATCAGACTTCTCAGGTTTGGTGCTGTGGGGCAACCGGCCGGCCTTATCTGAGGTGTGGTCAGGAACCCTCGAAAGAGAGCGAGAAATCCCACCAAGGACAGGTCAGGACCTCTGCTGCTTGCACGGGTTCACAGGGCGACTCTTTTCTTGAAGATGCTGAAGCCAGCCTGAGGTGTGGTCAAGGTAGGTCGAAAGACCCTAGCATATCCCACCAAAGGATCGCTGAAACAGCTTGTGCAACCTTGCATGGACCCCAGCCCGACCACACCCAGTCTTCACCTGTTATGGCTTCCCATGCTGCTGCAGGTCGCAAAAATGGTCGAAAACCTGCAACATCCTTGCAAGCGCCCTGCCGATCCTCGTCTGGAGGCTGGCTCCCGCGGTGCACCACGTTTCGTGATTGTGGTCAGGCTGTGTTAGGCTGTTGCAACTGTGAGCTCCCTTTTGCTTTTTGGAACCCCAGCCGGGGCAACCAGCACGAGGGCAACGTAGGAGAGAGAATCATTGAAGCAAGCCACCCAGGGCCGAGTTTCGATTGCAAGCGGCAGCTCCCAGCACTGAAAGCGTACACGAAGCCTCGAAAACGCTGCTGCCGAAGGGCTACAGGTGTTTCGGTCAGCACCCAGTGCCGTGACTGCAAGCGGCCTTTCCCAGCGCAGTGTGCTTATGTGAAACCCCGTAAACGCTTTTGCCACAGCGTCGCTGGTACCCTGCAGTCGAGGACTGGACACCAACAACAGAGCTTGTCTAATCAGGTGCCGCCGGTTCCCCTGGTCCCCTTAGGGTGTAGTCCCTCTTGGTCCCAGGCGAGCTTTGAGCGCAACGCACGTGTTACATCTTCAGCCCTTTTGCTTGATCAGACACACAAGTGTTGGTGCTGTGGCGCAACTGGCCAGCCTGGTCTGAGGTGTGGTCGAGTTTCCTCGAAAGAGGGCGAGAAATCCTGCCAAGGACGGGTTAGGACCACTGCTGCCTGCACGGACCCACAGAACGCTCCTTTTCTTGAAAATGCAGTGGCCAGCCTAGGGTGTGGTCAAGATTGGTTGAAAGACCCTAGCATATCCCGCCGAGGGTTGGCCACAACTGCTTGTGCAGCCTTGCATGCACCTCACCCCGGCAATACCCAGATTTCTTCTGTTCTGGCCAACGCTGCTGCTGCAGGTCATGAGCGTTCGTCAGAGCCCGGAACATCCTCAGCAGCATCCTGCCGATACTTGTCGCGAGGCTGGCTCTTGCTCTGCCCCACGCTTCTTAATTGCGGTCGGACTGTTGCCAACTGGTGCGCCTTTGGATTCAACTTTGCAGCCTACACCCCCAGCCGGGGTAAGTGTCATGATGACAAAATTGGGGAGCGTATCGGAGAAGCCAGCCATCCCGGCCCGAGTTGCAACCCCACTTGTGGTCACAGTCTGTGCACTCCCAGCCTGGAGCAGTGCCATAACGACAAGGTTGGCGCCCGAATTGGAGAGGCCAGCCACCCAGGACCCGGTTTCGACTTAGGTGGTGGCTTTGCCGATGCACTCAAGCAGCAAATCATGCAGCTTGTACAGGAGGCGGTGCAAAAGATCCTAGCTGATCTTAACTTGGGCTCTCTGTTGGGAGGGCAGACTTCGGCGCCGATCGCAAACAGCCCTTTTGCTCCTCTGCTTCCGAATGCTGCTGTGGCCGGTGACAGTACCTTGCCCAAACCTCGTAGGAAGCGCAAAAAGAAGGGGCAACAGCCCCCAGCAGAGCAGCCGGAACCCCAAGGGAAGGCCAAAGGCAAAAGCAAGCACAGAGGCGGAGGTGAACAGGCCCAGACTCCCCCTAAGCCATCTCTTGAGGCCCCTGCGACTCATTCCCGAGGCAAGGGCATTGGCATCACACCGGAGGATGCCAAGGCTGGCTGGGTCACTGTTGGCCCAAGAGCACGACCGAAACCCAATGACGAATTCTGCTTAAGAGCACAAGATTGGAATCAGCCCCTCCTTGATCCCACAAAGTTCGCTGAAAAGCTTGAGGCGATCCCAAAGGGTGAGAAACTGACAGGCGTGATCTTGTGCAACTCTGAGCAGGCTCAGCTTATCAAGGCCATGGCAGCTGGATGTACCAAGGCTTATTCCGTCACTCTAGTGTGCCTCGATCCTGCGGGAACCGCCCGGGTCCCAGGCCTCGTGAAGGATCAGCTGCAATTCCGCAAAGCCACCACGGGCTTCCTTCGTTCTGATCCGACAGATGCTGTCCCGGCACCTAAGGGTGCCAAGCCCCCTTTTGCCGTTGTTCGCAAACCCTCTGTGGTCCTGCATGCTAGGATCCCGAAAAGCTTTGCCACCGAAAAGCTTTGGGCTGCTGTTGCCAAAACACCCTCCCGTGTCATGATGCAGTGGATGGCAGACCACCATGTCAATGTGCTGGACGCCTGGGGCTGGAAGGAAGAACGCCTCGCTAAGGACCTCCAGCTGTATGGCCTTCTCAGGGTCAGCGAAAGTGACTTGAAGCCGGTGCTTGCGCTCTCTGGCATTGACGGCATCTTTCTTGAATGCGCCAAGAATAAAGAAGCACCGAAGCTTCCCACCAAAATCACTTGGGTTGAACCTACCAAGGGCGAGGCTCCGGGTGAATACCTTGCTCGCATGCGGCGTTCGGCTGGGGACCTGGGTCTCGCCCATCGTGGAGGCAAACTCGGCCAAATTGCACCACTTGCCGACGGCGAGCCCATTGCGAAAATCTGGTCGGTGCCGTGGGTCCCAGCCGATTGGACTGTCGAGCAGGTCACCGACCTGCTAAAAGCCTCTTTCACAGACATCGCCATGCTCAGGCAATTGCGCAAGAAAGCTTCCAAGGTGTTCTACTTTCGTGCTGCAGCCAAGGAGCCAGACCGGGATCTCATTCCCCTCCCGGCCAAGGATGGCGACACTGAGTTGACTTTGTG